TATATATATATATATATATTTAAAGATTTGGTTATTTTTTAAGAGTATGAATGTTTTGCTTGCATTTATGTATTGTACCATGTGCTTGCCTGGAAACTGTAGAGGTCGAAGAGGTCATTGGACCCCCTGGAACTGGAGTTTGGGGATGGTTGTGCATCACCTGGGACCGAGTCCAGGTCCTCTGCAAGAGCGACCTCTCCATCCCTGCTTCAGTTTTCTCTTGCTGGGCACTCCATTCTGTAAAGTCAGAGGCTGTACTCACCTAGTAGTCAGGGCGAGACATGCTTCGCTGGTTTGCATAGGGATTTTGGGTCTGACTGGGGACCCCTGTCCTGACTTTCGGGAAGATGCTGCTGCTGTCTCCTCCAAAGTTGCTGAAGCCGGAGTTGCTGAAGCCGGAGTTGCTGAAGCCACCTTGCTGCAGTCGGATATTCCGAAAATCGTCCTCAATCAACTGCTGTTCCTCCACGTTCTTCTTTTTCTTCTTTGAGCTATAATCAGTAAAATGAATTAGGACCTAAGGATGGCAACAACGTTTCTTGAAGGAATTTTTTTTTTCTGTATCCCCCACTGTCCTGGAACTCACTATATAGACCAAGCTGAGCTTGAACTCACAGAGATCTGCCTGCCTGTGCCTCCCGAGTGCTGGGATGAAAGGGTGTGCCAGCACCTTAGCTTTCCGTGTGCTTTTCAGTTGATTAACAGAGGTGAAAGAGAAACCATGTCTTATGACACCAGCAGAATAAATGCCTACAGAAACATTCAGTGAGTGAGATGAACTCAGCATTCCAAGGTCTTAGGAAAGAAAAAAGGAGCCCAAGAAGATGGCTCTGTTGTCAAAGTACTTGCCACAGAAGTCTGAGGACCTCATTTGGGATCCCTAGAGCCCATGCTAATGTCAGGTGGGCATGGAGGCCTGCCTGTCATTCTAGCACTTGGAAGGAGGGGACCCAGGATAGAGAACTGTGGAGTAAGCAAGCTAGCCTCAGTAGCCTTATCTATGAGCTCTGGTGCAACTGAGAATCCCCGCCTCAGCTAGCAGAGGAGCCCATGGCAGAGGAAGCCTCCTGATAGCAACCCTGGGCCTACACAGTCACTCGAATGCATAGCACCCACAGTAGTACATATGTGTTTACACAAATAGACACAAACCACACAACAAGGAGAAAAGGAAATAGGGTTTAGCAGAATGATAGGGCTGTTTGAGGCACTTCAAGGGCCTCTAGTGTGGGAATTCTAAGTCAAGTGTAAGCATTTGTACTCACAGAGGCATCAATCTACCTGACTCAGATTATACACTTGCTTGTCTTCCTGCCCATGAGCCACTGTCCCACTCCCCAGACTGAGAGAGTAGGGACAGCTGTATCTAAGATGCAGGTCACTCCCAGCACACCTGTACTCCAGTCACATTGGGAATGCCATTCACCCGGTACTTTAGATAGCCACTCAGTTTACACTGGAGATCCTGCTTTTGACAGTCTCTCATCCAGAGTAGCAAAGACTGCTTACGGAGGCAAAGATTTCATGCTGTATTCCCAAGAACCCTGACTCTGTGGTTGGGTTCTTCAGCAGGATGGAGAAGCCCTGATAGAAAACTGTCATAAGGCTTCATATTCTATAGGAACTCTGGTCCCTGAAGGGCCAGAACAGTCAACCAGCTACTTTAAGAAAAGAGGACATAGACTTGCTCCAAAACCAGGAATGTTCTGCCTCTCTTCCTGGAAGTGAGAAAGCAGATATTGTGGGAGTTGCCCACGTGGCTGATACTAGTTTTGCTCTGGGAAGGGTCAACATCAAAATGGAAGAAAATATCAACAAGAGACTAAGAACCAAGACTAACTCAGGTGGTGGTAGCAAATGCCTTTAATCCCAGCACTCGGGAGGCAGAGGCAGGTGGATCTCTGTGAGTTGGAGGCCAGCTTGGTCTATAGAGTGAGTTCCAGGACAGCCAGGGCTACACAGAGAAACCCTGTCTTGAAAAACAAAACAAAAAGAACCAAATATCTGTCTATCCTCTAGAGTTGTAGTGGGGAAAGGTCAGAATATGTTACCAGAATATAAGATCTGAGCTAAATGTTAGGGGAAGAATAGCTGCTTCTCACAATGTGGGTTCCAGAGGAAGAGGGGAAGAGGGCCTCAGCACCCTTCTCCTGGCTATTGGAAGAGTTGCAGCATTGCTAAATATTGCTGAATGACTTAGACCTTACTTCCCTTCCCTGAAGAGACACCAAGCTGAGAAAGAGCCACAGAGATGAACTTACTACTTTAAAACCCAGGGTTGCTTTGGGACCCTGTTGAGGTTGCTTTTGTGTCCTTTAGCAGAGCCCTGGGCAAGGGAGTGGTTTGGGGGAAGTTATATTTGACAACATCAATGTAATGAAATATATGTTTGTTTTGAGACTGTCTCATAGAGCCCAGGCTGGCCTGAAACTCTTTATGTAACCAAGGATGACCTGAAACTTCTGAGGCTCCTGTCTCTACCACCTGAGCTGGGATGGCAAGGAGACACCACCACATCTGGTTTGTGCTATGCTAGAGATCAAATCCTGGTCTTCAGGCAGGCTATACAAGTACTGTACCAACTGAGCCCCAGCCCCAGCCCCGGCCCTGGATTTTGTTTTGGTGAGGTAGGGTCTCGTGTAGTCAAGATTGGCCTCAAACTTGGTATGTAGTTGAGGCTGGCCCTAAACTGAGTATAGGTGTGTACAGCCATGCATAACTGAGTTAAATGGTGCTAATGGAAAGTTGTTTTTCTGTTGTTTGAGACAGGTCTCTCCACATAGCCCTAGCTGGTCTCAAATTCACAGAGATCAGCCTGCTTCTGCCTCCCTACTGCTGGAATTAAAAGGGTGTGCCCACATATGGACCTAGTGAAGAGTATTAATGTCATAGAAAACTGATGGTTGGGTCTGATTAGTGTCAAGCAAAAAATAAAACTGAACAAAAAAGTAAAGCATAAAGGATATGGAACCATGTATATAATATCACTTAAAAAGGTAAATCAAGTAAGGGCTAGAGTGACGTTCAGTGGTTAAGAACACATACTGCTCTTAGAGAGGACCCAAGCACAGGTCCCAGCAGCCAGGTTGGGTGACTCAAAACTGCCTATAACTCCAGCTCTAAGGGATCTGATACTCCTTTCTGGATTCCCTGAGCACCTGTATTCACATGAACTTATACAAACGTACATAAACCGGGCGTTGGTGGCACACGCTTTTAATCCCAGCACTCAGGAGGCAGAGGCAGGCAGATCTCTGTGAGTTCGAGGCCAGCCTGGTCTCTACAGCAAGTGCCAGGATAGGCTCCAAAGCTACACAGAGAAACCCTGTCTCGAAAAACCAAACAAAAACAAAAACAAACAAACATACATAAATAAATGTATGCATAAAGTATTTATATATACTTATGTAAAAATAACAAACATAAAACCTTTTAAAAAGAAAGAAAATAATTAAAAGTAAAAAATCCGATTGTAGGGAAGAGGCCTCCTTGTTTCCTCCTCTTCACCCATGAGAGTGTTTTGGAAAGCAGCTTAAATAGAAGTATCTATCCACCCCATACCTCACTGAGACGATAAGAGCAATCAGCAAGATGAGAATAAGGGCTCCGGCAATGGTGCCCACGATGGTGAGGATCAGCTGGAATTCTGAAAGGGAAAAGACAAGAGCAGTGTTCTGGTTATTTTTAACTGTCAACTTGTCACAACCTCATGTGCGAAGAGAGTCTTAATGAGGCATTATCTAAATTGGATTAGCCTATGTGTTATGTCTGGGGCAGGGATGGTCTTGACTGTTAATTGCTTTAGGAAGACCTAGTCCACTGTGGGAAACACCATTCCCTAGGCAGGGAAAGAAGAAAGCTAGGTGGGAGCAAGAGAGCATCGAGCAAGGATCCATGCACTCATTCTCTATTTGCTCTTGACTGTGGATGCAATGCTTTGAGTTCCTACCCTGATTTCCCCCAAAATAACAGACTATAACCTGGAATTATGAACCAAACAAAGCTTTTTGCCAGGGTATTTGTCTCAGCAACAGAAATGAAACTGGGAACAAACAGCCCCCCCCTCCACCAGGGTCCTGCTGTCTACTGCACGGTGTGAGCTCCAGCAGTTCCTGTCTGCCAGCCCTGTAGAGGGCAGGTGCTCATCTCTGTTGCCACCCTCTCCTTGTCCTCATGTCCTGACCATTAGGTTGTCTGCAGCACAGTCATTACATGCAGGGTTTTTGTTTTTGTTTTTTGGTTTTTGTTTTTCAAGATAGGGTTTCTCTATGTAGCTTTGGAGCCTATCCTGGCACTCGCTCTGGAGACCAGGCTGGCCTCGAACTCACAGGGATCCACCTGCCTCTGCCTCCCAAATGCTGGGATTAAAGGCATGCACCACCAACGACCGGCAAAATGCAGGTTTTCCAGCTATAAAACCACAAATACAAAAGAGGCTGATAGCGGCAAGGTCTTCCTGGGCTGTGTGGGGTAGAAGGCCTCACCTCACTGAGGTCTATATTCCATCTCCATCTCTCCTGCCACCGCCTGACGTCCATAGCTCTCCCTTTCCATAAGCCAGGAGATCGGGATGGGCACTAAACATGTCACCAGCAGAGAAGGCAGGCGATGGCTTACAAGGGGGGAGTCTGCTAATACCTACCCTCTTCCACCTCAGACTAGAGCTATCGACCTTTTGTTACATAGCCCAGGATGGGCTTAAACTCACAGCATCCTGCTTCAGCATCCCTAGTACTCTCATTACAGACGTTCAATACTATGCCTGGCTGCTGTGGACTCTTGGAATATGGCCATAAGAATAGCTTCTGAACATAACATACACACCAGTTCCAAACACTTAACCTGGAAAACTCATTAATGGCAGGCAGTGATTGTACACACCTTTAATCACAGCACTCCGGAGGCAGAGGCAAATGGATCTCTGTGAGAGTTCGAGGCCAGCCTGGTCTACAGAACAAGTTCCAGGATGGCTAGGACTGTTAAACAGAGAAACCCTGTCTCGGAAAAAAAAAATGAATATAATGGCTGAGGATGTCCTTCTTTGGTCTGGAGTGGGTTCAGAGGCACCAGCTCACCCCTGCGTCTGAGTTCTGTTATCCCTAACAGCAGAACTTTTGCTGCCCATCTCCTAAGGGTGAATGTGGGATATGGGGCCCAGCAGACAGGCTCCAAGTCCAGTTTCTCTCTCTCAGTGAATGAAGGAAGACTGTGGTGGAGTGGGCAGGACTCTGTATGTGGTCCACATGTGTTTCTTAGATGTTTAGTAACTTAGGGTGTCTATACTCACGGTCTTTGCAATCCGTGCCACTATAGCCGAAAGGACACCTGGAACACAGTCACAGCAGGAAGTCACATTAAAGACTCTTGTGGGGTGTGTGCTGGAGTTCCCACCCTGATGCCCATTTCTCCCTTCCCATCTGCCTTTCATTCTGTCCTCCCTTGCTCTTTCTGTTATCTTTGTGCTATCATATTTCCAAGAGAGTATTCCATGTGGTTCTGCTACAGCAAAGTGTACTCAATCCAATGTGGCTTCATTTGCCACAGACTGAACATAGCCTCCTCTGAACTCCAGGAAGGCTTGGCAATTCAGGTGAAACTGAATCCAAGAGGCATGGAGTAACATGGATTCCCTCAAGGGGCAACTGGTGAACAACGGCATATTACTCCTTTTTAGTTTTGTTTCTTCATCTCGTAACGGGCACCTGATACGTTTCTAACTGTTGTATGATAGGTCCTGCCTACTGTGGTTCCTAGAGATACAGGATGCTCCAAAACTCTTGGATGATGATGGCACAGTGGTGTGCTAAACCTACCAACCCATGCCAGCTTGCCAGCTTTCTGATACCAAGCTTTCATATGTGCTTCAAGCTCTAGCCTGGCTATCCCGTGACAAGATAAAGATGGAGTGATTTCTTACTCTTCACACTTGTCGCTGTTTTTCTGGTAGCCTGGCATGCACACACACTCCGATTTTCCATTAGTCCTTACGCATTGCTTCCCTTCCTGTGCATTGCAGGGCTCAGAACACTCTGGAGCTGTAAAATAAAGTGATTTCAAGGTCATTATCAGAAACAGTATCTTAAAAAAGTATGTGTGTGTGTGTGTGTGTGTGTGAGAGAGAGAGACAGAGACAGAGACAGAGACAGAGACAGACAGAGATAGAGAAAGAAAGAAAGGAAGGAAGAGAGGAAGGAAGGAAAGAAGGAAGGAAGAAAGAAAGCGCCATAGGACAAGTTTCTGGGCAGAGTCAGTTCTCTCCCTCCACATTTACCTGGGTTTGGGGAATAAACTCCAGTTTGCTTAGTAAGTGCCTTTGCTGGTTGAACCATCTCAATAGCCCAGAGATGACCTCTTCAACCCAAAGATGACATGAGACAGCACACAATTTTGTACTTTGGATTTTCTAAGTAAGTTCAATATGTGCCTCTTGAGAAGCTGCCCTGGGCAGCTCCCAGCACATGGGAACTCAAGCAGTCATGTGCGTATTTTGGAAATATAAGAAATCAGGTGGTTATAATCCTCTTCACCAAAGAAACTAGGAAACATGAAAGACTCTAAGGGATAAATGGGAAGTGGCATGAACTCCTGAGCTAATTGGGAACATGAGGGTAGGGGAGAGGGAGCTGCCACAATAAGAGCAGGAGAAGAGGAGTAGAGGAGAGGAAATGGAGAAGCAGAAATATTGAGTTGGGGGAAGAATAGAGGAGAGAGAGCAGGATGAGAGATACCATATTAGAGGGAGCCACTATAGGTCCAAGAAGAGATCTGGAACTAGGGAGATCTCTAGAGAA